AGCTCAAAAGGGATGTTAAAAAAAAAGGTAAATTACCAGGGTGGTGAAAGAAGTTCCCAGATAACCAAATAAATATTGCTAATATGTCTGCTGAATACCTAAAAGCACTTTCTATATCTTTTGCTAGATTTCTAATATATTGTCCTGTATTCTGGGTATCTGTGTATAGCCCTTAACTCTCCTACTATGTTATACAGTTCTTGAGAATAATGATTGATCACTCAATGTCTGGAACAGTATTAGGGCTCAACAAGTATTTCTTAAATTAATTAACTAAGTAAACGAATGAGTGAAGGATTATTTTTGTATTCTTATACATGTACAGGAATTTGTGCATACAAAATATGGCAAATATTTATTGTAAATGAATAAATGAAGTAGCAAAACTTTTGAGAATTATGAAGCAGAGCTAGTATGGCCAATTCTGTGTTTCTGTCCCTTTTATATTTTAGTTCTTCAAAAATTGGCCATGATGTATATGCCTTATATATGTATACACCTATATCTGACAGATTTTTATATATATATATATGTATATAGTATATATGCATGACAGTGTACTGTACATACAAAGAAGTCTATCAGTAAAGAATTCTGTTAAGTATCAAATACACTATTCTGTAAATTTCTTGAGGGCAGAGGTTGTCACATTCACAGATGTCATCCTGTCCACCTCACTCCCTCCTTACTCCATTTTTCTCCATCTTAATGCCTGGCACTTAAACATTCAAAAACTATTTACATAAACTGAACTTGTACTTTGAGTGCCTTGGAAAGAAGCTAATTTTGCAGTATTTCCAACCAAGATAAGGAATCTTCATGGATTTATCTTTTTTATTTTTCCTAAGCCTAGGGAAGCAGAAAAAGAAAAGAAAAGAAAAGAAATGAATCATGTTTGTACCTTGAGTTTTTACTTATTTGTTAACTTAATTCACACTTACAACTTTGCATCATGTAACAGGCAGAACTATAATTGCTAAAATTATAGGTATTAGAGACAGAGGGTAAAAATGTCTACCTGACAGTTAAGCCTTAAGGCGAATCAGAATTCTAGACCCTAGGCAAATAGCAAGTCTCTGAATTTTGTTCTCATCAGTGAAATGAAGATATTAAAGCCTAGTCTTTCCAAACTGGGTTGTTGAGAAGATCAGCTGAGAAAATCAGTGCGACGGTTTAGAAAAGAACAGTAGCAGTGATAATGATAGAACAGCGACAAAGGCTCCCGGTTACCGGGTACCTGATATGTTGGAGTGCGATTTAATTGTGAAACGTTGCTCTCATGATCACAAGAGTGTTAGAATTTTGGTTCACGGAGAGTTGTTTGTTTCTGACTCTGTGTCTTTCACAGTGTTAAGCAAATACAGGAAGCCCTTTTTTTGGCAAAGGAACCAAGTGGGAGGAAAACCCTCAATCTGTGTTCCGAGCACCTACTGTTACCAGTTGCTGTTTGTTACGATACTGCTTCTTTATAGTCTTTACCAGTTTCTAAAAACTGAAGTTTGGTTGAGCCTGCAGCTATAGCCTCTCTGTCTTGTCAAAGGGGTTACCTGAAAATTTGAGATGTTTTTAAAAACTCAATTGTTTTCCTCTGTTATAAAAGCATATCTTATAACCCAGTACAGTTTTCTTCCCACCCTCTATGTTACATTTTTAGTTCTTGGTAATGGAAATTAATATATTATTTTGGCAAATATAAACACATTTGATAAATTGGAGATCACTTACTTTTTTTCTCATACCATTGAAATTATTTGTAAATCTCACTTTAATAATAATATTTCCAGGTGTATGGATAATATATATTTATATAATCTGTTTAAGCAGTCTATTAGTTCTTTTGTTTGGAGGGTACTTTGATTTTTTTTAACTTTTTTTAATTGAGTTATAGTCATTTTACAGTGTTGTGTCAAATTCCAGTGTAGAGCACAATATTAATTCTTATTGTTTAGATTTTTTTTTAGATTTTGTTTATAATAGATAATAATACAGTAAATACCTGTGAAAGATATATTCTGAGTCAAAACATTTACAGTCTCTCTCTCTCTCTGCCTCTCTCACACACACACACACACACACACACACACACACACAGACTCACACCCTATTTTTCATATGATATGGCCACTGAGTGCTCCTATTTCTAACATCCAGTTGCAGAAACAGAAAACTGCCCCTGTGCTGGGAGAATACTGGCACATGTTGAATTTAGCAAGAGATACTGTGGTTTACACCACCCTTATTTACTGTTTTGTTAGCAATTTAAAAGATTTCTTGGGTGATTTTTGACTCCATGACAACTTTGCCTTAGGCTTTGAAACTGTAGAACCTTATCCTGTCTTAAGATGTAACATCACTGAAATGGAGATTTTTGAATCAAATAAGCTCATTTTTAGTACGAAGGTTAATGGTTGATGAATATATAGTAATGTGGTTAAACTGTAGTTCAAGACAATAAATTTAATTTTACTTTTTAATAAATAGTGGATAGTCTTTTTTTTTTTTTTGGCCATAATTTGTTCCTGGAAAATAGATCATGTTTTCCCATAGGAACAACGTAAGATGGGGATAGAATTACTGATCAGGGACATAGAACCAAATGAGACAAAAAGGATAACATAAAGACAGCTATAAATTTCTGTGATGACATAAAACAGCAAAATTTAAAGGACATCACATAGCTTTCTAGAGCTATGAGGCACCTTAGGGCTTATTCACCTCTAGTCATTTCATTTTAGAAATGAGTATACAGCATCCTGTGGAGACCAGGAGGATTTAGTAGCAGAGCCAAGGCTGGAACCCCAGATGGCCCAGCTTCTAATCCCAGGGTCTTTCCACTAGGCTGCGCTATGAAAAGTCCTGCAAAGAAGTACCAATGAAATATACAGTATATATGAAAATATTACTATACTGTGTAATTCGTTTACCTAGTTAAAATTAATGAACTTATTTTAGTATGCATTAATTAACAAATGAACATTAATTTTCCATTTTTGGAAGACTATTCTTAACTCACTTGGATGATGGGTCACATTTAAAAGGCTGTGCAG